CTGTTTGGATAACCTCACACGACTCCTAAGGGTTTGGCTGTCCTCACGGAGACGCTGAAAGAGTCAGAAGGGAACTCTACGCCGACGCTGATTCTATCATCAACCAGGTAAAGGTTCTATTTCGACCAAGCGTACCGTGGGCCAAGCTTATTCTCCAAAGAGCGTGTTGTTCTGGTACCACAGATAAATTCCCTCACACATCTCTCTGTAAGATAAATCTCCATTTTCCATCTTAAACTCTCCTTTCTCCTAAAATCATTACAGATATTTTAGAAATGTCTGAAGTAAAGTTCTCAATCACCGCCGTGTGATTGATGTCTGCTGTTCTGCTGAGAAGTGAGGACAATCGCCGTGTTGTCCCCACTTTCTGTGAAACTAGCCATGTTATTGTTTTCATATTTTGCCAAATTAATGTAAATGTGTGATGTTAAACTTTGATTCTGCAAATAAATGACCGCATTCATTTGATGGGTCAAAGATAAATAACGTCTCTCGTTCGCATTTCTGTTAGACTCAATGCACGACATTCACACAGTCAGAAAAATGAAGAACTCGTGAAAATGTATGAATATATCTGAGCATATGTCATACTACACGGTGCAGAGTAGAAGAGCAAACGCATTCACCATTTTTAAAGTGCTTCAAATAAACTAAACAAAAACAACTATTTCCAGTTTGCCCTCTGAGTCACATCATCCCTCTTTACACTCTGTCCAGCCATCAATCTGCAGAAACTCCACATGTCAGAGTGTTTCACACAGTGAACTGCTGAACACTGATCAACTGAAGACAGCACAGTTGGTTTACTACATACAGTATTCTCAGAAACTGGTCAGTAAAAAATTAGTTATAACGCCAGGTAGTTTGCAAGGTACTTGACAAAGACCTCGTAATTTTCTAAATTACTTCAACAAATTGTCAAAATTAGCGATGATGTCTGATAGACAATCAGGCACTTCAAGATCAAACTTTGCTTTCCAATTAGTGAAGGAATCACAGTAAAGCAGAGCACTGGCATTATATTAGACATTATACTTGAATTATACATTATTACATTAGACTTTTTGGAGTTGGCGATCACCTGGCTTATCGACGAATGCGGAAAATGCTGGCAGCTGTTCTGGCCTTGGTAAGGCTGCCTGGCATGACGGAATGTACCGAGCGGTAAGCACTCAAGATGCTGGATGAGCCGAGTCATAAACTGGACGTGATTTCTGAGAATCGCAGGTCACTTGCGGCTCCTGGAACTCACTGGCGGGAAGGAGTCGACCTTAGAGAAGGCTACATACCCTAACCTTAACCAAATTATAACCAAATGTAAGTAGACTATGTAGATTGTGTAGAAGTACTTCAAATCATCATCTGTCAAAGTGAGTACAAAGCTGGGACTCCCCATATCGGTCTTCTTACCACAAATGCATTTATTTATTTATTAACCTTTATTTAACGAGGCAAATCACAGATCTCTTTTGTAAGGGAGGACTGGGCCTGAATGCATGTTTTTGGTCTGTGGGAGAAAACTGGAGAACCCGGAGAAAACCCACGCAAGCACAAGAAGAACATGCAAACTCCACACAGAAAGACCCCAGGTCCAACCGTGGATTGAACCCAGGACCTTCTTGCTGTGAGGCAACAGTGCTAACCACTGAACCATCGTGCTGCCAGTAGTGGATATCATACCCACAGAAAACTTGGTATGAAATTACCTAATTGCAAAAGTACAAAATGGTAAAAGTAAAAATTAATCAGCACTCTGACAAGTAAAAAGGAGTTTATTATTAGACATTTAGTTAAGGAGAGAATAAAGCCCCATAACCTGGTCCTGTTTTGAAGAAAAATTTTATTGTAGAAGTATTCTTATAAACGCACAATTTTTTTTATTATTATTATTTTGTATAGTGTAAATTACAATTACCAAAACATAATCAGAATTTCTCAAAATAGAACTTTATAAGAATCATAATTTAGAATTTGCTTGGAAAACAGCAATAAGTGCATCACTAGTATGCTGGTGAAGAATCTGAGTCGTCCAGGTCATGAGTAATCAAAAACAAACAAAAAAAACATTAAAATATAAAAACTGGACTTCTATTCTAAAGCTGAAAACATTGGTCTTCTCATCTGGGAGGCTTCATCAATTCAAAAATGTCTGGAGTGTGTGGAGTTCCAAGTTTTATAGAACTGCATGACAGGCCTGGCTGTGTACTTAGATTCACCCGCAGATTGGACCCGCCCCACACAACGGAGGCTCGTTCAGCTCTTTGTCTGCCTGACTCACAGAAAGGTGTTTTAGTCACCTGCATGAAAGTGTGAATTGGAGTGGAGCTGACCAGGAATCAGGCCTTAAGCTGCAATGTACATTTTTGAAAGTTGAAATCTGAGACCTCCTCCTCTGTTTCAAGTTGTTTTTCTTCACGTAAATGGCTCTCCCCTCCAAAATCATCTGTGTTCTCGGTCTAAAATATGAACATTTTGGTCCTCATAAGAGTAGCTCTTCTCCACGAGACGTAGTTAGAGTTGGACCACTGAGTCTTGTCCCGAAAAGCTGCTCTCCAGTGTTGAGCCATGCATCTGTGGACAGGTTTAGTTTCTCCAATATAGAGGTCAAACATTCCTCAATGCACTGAACTACAGACACAACACCGCTTAGTTTGGGTTTAGGGGTTCTGTCCTTGGGATGGCCCAGCTTCTGTCTGAGGGTCCTGTTGGCTTTAAATTGTACCGGGATGTTGTGTTTGGAGAAAATTCTTGCGAGTTTTTCCAGATACCCCCAGCAACGTATGGGATGACAATGTTTTAGTGTTTGCTCTTCTCTCTGTTCTGTAGAATGATTTTTTGGATTTGTTAGCTGATCTGACAAAGGTCCAGGTAGGATATGCACAGGGTTGGAGAGCTTCTTTGATGTGTTTCTGTTTTATTTTCCTTCCCTTCGGTCTTTGTGGAGACATATTCGGCTTGGTTGTGTAAAGTTCTAATGACAGAAAGTGTGTGTTCCAGTGGGTGGTGAGTTAAACAAAAGATACTGATCTGTGTAGGTTTTTTTGTAAACTTCAATGCTGAGGCATCTATCTCTTTCCATGTTCACTAAACAGTCCAGAAATAGCAGCTTGTTGTCGTTAGCATCCACTCTGATAAACTTGTAGAGTTCTATAAAGCCTGGAACTCCACACACTCCAGACATTTTTCAATTGATAAAGCCTCCCGGATGGGAAGCAAAATACCTTCAGCTTCAGAATAGAAGTCCAGTTGTTTCTGTTTCATTTCTTTTTTTGGGGTTGAATCACTAGTAATTTTTTTGTCTTTCGGCTGCTCCCTTTGTAGCGAACTAAGTCACACAAAGACTTTGCAGTTATTTTTACGCTGGATGCCTTTCAATTCAATTCAATTCAATTCAAAAATACTTTATTAATACCAGAGGGAAATTAAATATTGTTGTAGCTCATTTTCCTTGTTTCATAAAAGAGTTGTTCTAGATGTTGATGGTTGTGGGCGGGAAGGATCTCTTGTGATGGTCCGTCTTATAGCAGATCTGAAAAAACTGGCCACAGATGTTGAGCCGTTTACTTGCACTTGGTTGGCCTCCTGGGCTTCAGGATCACCTGAATGTTGGGCAGAAATCCTCCCAGGGCAATGGCCACTCCTCCCAGCAGCTTGTTGAGCTCCTCATCGCTGCGGACAGCCAACTGTAGGTGCTGATGGACGATTCTGTCCTTCCGCTGTCATGAGCCATGTTTCCTGCTAGTTCCAGGATCTCAGTGGTCAGGCACTCGAGCACAGCTGGCAGGTAGATGAAAATGCGTCCACAGAACATCCTTTTCAACTCATTTGAAATTTAGGGCTGTAGTTGAGATATTACTTGAGCTTTTGAGATGTTAATCAGCTGCTGTTGGTTGTAGAAACTGCCTTGTTGCCATGGTTACGCATCATAACAAATGTCCAAAACTAAAAAAGTTTCAGTAAAAATCCTTCCAGCTGCACAGCATCCGATACCAGAGGAAACAACCATCCAAAAAATGTGATTTACATCCAGAAAAAGAGGAATTAAAGTTTCGAAAAGCAAAATCTCAGAATGAAAGTAACAGAGCTGCTCCAACATGCAGCCACCTTGAGCGGCGCAATTCTAGAACTAGAATTCTAGAACTAGAATTCTAGAATTTTTGACGCAACCACAGACCACTGAACTACTACAGCCCTCTGTGTGGAGAAGAGAGCTGCTATCTAGGGTGACCGGAGGAGCAGATGGTGGGGGTTAAGGGCCTTGCTCAAGGGCCCAGTGTGGGGCAAATGAGGGTGGAGACTGGTGTGGGTGCTTCACCAATCCCACCCACATTTTGATGTTGTCGGTACCAGCAGTTGAACTAGTGATCTTCTGATCATAGGCCCACCCGTTAGCCACAGTCTAACCTCTGCACCATCACTCCCCTATGTATCACTAGTACAAATATAAAATATTATTTAGCATCCAAGAAATTCAAGGAATACTTGCAATTAGGACAAATGATGTTTAGACTAAGAAATCTGATGTATCAACTATTGAATGAATACTTGAGCTTTGAATTTACTGTTCAAGTTGAATTTTTAAGTATAGGAGACACGCCTAACAACCCCCCCAAAATGTATAGAAGCCATTAACATTTGTTACAATAAACTTGAAAAGCTGCTGAGCTGACTTGGTCAGAATTCATGTCAATTCAGATTTAAAAAAAAAACGTTTTATCTTGATTACTGTAAAGAAGTGGAGCTGTTGCATCCTAACCTAACCAGAAAAATACTTTGACAGTAGTCACTATATACCACACACGACAGAGAGCTGGTGGTGTTTTTTTTTATATATAGATAGCAACAATGTGATATTTGTGTCACACTATTATATATATGAATTTTAAACATCCAATAAATACATAATAAATTCAACAAATCGCCTGCTATTATTCTCAGCTGTGACTTGATGGCTAACTAGCTAACTAGCAGCTCAACGATTCCAAGTTTAACAGCCTTACCTCCACTTAGTTTAGGGATTTTTCCAATTTTATTAGTTATTTCTGCTGTAATGGTTCCAAAGTCCTGCTCGTAGGTTTCAAAGTCTGAAGACATTCTGATGAATAAGTTAAAACAGACAACTAGCTTTCTGGTTGTCAGTTACCTCAGAATAATAACAAGCCTCGAATGGAGTCGCTTCCTTGAGTTACAGTCTAAAGTGTTCGACTAGGAACTAGAGTTGTTCAAGCAGTGTTCAAGGGCTTCTGTTTGCCACACGGTTTTTTTTTTCTCGCGGGCGTACAAATTAAATTTTGAAATTACTTTAGACGATTTAACTACTTAAATAAAAGTATCTGTAAAAACGTTTTAGGGTTTTGGTATATGAGCCACACCGAAGAAAGTCCTGAGTTTTGTTCCTACACTGTAGACGAGAGAAATCAAAGAAATAAGCCAAGGAAGTGACCAGGTTTGTAATTTAAAGTGACAGATTTTTTTTTCCGCTTCTCACTTAAATATTAAATGCTTATAAAGGATCGTGTTTGCTATAGCTTTATGTTTGTGTGTGTTTGCGATTTTTGGCAACAGTTCGGTGTGAAACGCTGGTGTTGTTAAAGCTGATGGGCAGCCTTGCTAACAAATAGTTCGCTAAGGCTACAGTGGGTGCAAAGCGGAAATATAATTTTTTAGTCAAACACGAAATTCACACATGTGAAATCACACATTGCTGAATTTTCATCTAGATTCGTTTTACTTGTTTAACTATATTAACAGCTGACAGAGACGTGCGTAAAATGCTGCTGTTTTATTGGTACAAATTAGCTAGCTTGGTTGGCAACAGGCTAATTATTAATTAATAATCAATAAACAAGTTTTCGATCATATTTGCTCGTGTGGAGTTTTAAGTGTTTTGCTACACTGCTCATTTTTATGTTGTGTTTACGCCCAGATAGCTACTTTATTAACTTGGAAAATGAGATTACTATAAAGTCGTTATTATTGTTTAACATCAGCAAGAGAAATAAAAGTAAAAGCATATTCTCTGTTGGAAGTAGAAATGAGAGAAGTGCAAGTTGTATTGTGATATCTTAAAATTTTGAGGTTTACTTGTAATTTTTAAAGTTTTTTTATTATTATTATTTCTTCAGGCGTTCTGAAGCTTTTTCAGAGTTTTTCTTTGGACACTGGCTTTTTTTTTTAAAACATATTTTTAGTCCTGAACAACTTTGCATTTTTTTCCAAGTGCTAAAAATAACAATTTCACAACCTAAATTTGACTGGATTTTTTCTAACTTCTTAAGGATGTCAGCTTAAATGCAACAAACCAACTTCCTGCAGGCAAGAATAAGCCTTATGTGACAGCTTGCATCTGAAATGCAACATGTTACCATTTAAAATGTATCTTTTTTCCCCTTGTAGATCGTGAACTTCTGTCTCTCACAAGGATAGTGTCCTTCAGATGTCGACTGGAAAGGATGCTAGTCTTCACCACAGCAAGGATTAATGGGACACAGAGAGCCCAAGTGGCTGAAGGCCTGGACAGTTGCTGGGTACTCAGAAGAGAAAAGCCATGTGCATACTGTGCACCCCTAACTTTTCAAGGTAGCAGAGGAAAACAGTAGCACATTAAACTTGGATAAATACATTTCAGGAACTTAAAAGTAAAACTAATATTCCTGATCTTCCTGTTAAAATGAATTTCCTGTCAACCATTGTGACATTTGAGAACCTCCATGAGGTTCGGAGATTATGCCACTGGGGTCCAATCATAGCTTTATCTGTTATTGCTATATGCTCAACCATGGCAATTATAGACTCCATTATCTGGTATTGGCCGCTAGATACTACAGGAGGCAGCATTAACTTCATCATGCTCATCAACTGGACAGTACTCATTCTTTACAACTACTTCAATGCCATGTTTGTTGGACCTGGATGCATTCCTTTTGGCTGGAAACCAGTAAGTCACTTGTGTTTAAACAGACACGCCTGAAAATGTTACATAGTTATACCAGTGAAGTTACATCTTATCATTTTAATCCGTCAACAGGAGACTCAACAGGATTTACAATACTTACAATACTGCAGAGTGTGCCAAGGGTATAAAGCTCCCAGATCTCACCACTGTCGAAAGTGTAACAGGTAAAAACACACATAAATAGAGCTTAATTAAAATTTTCTCATCTGTGTTTCACATCTTAAACACATGAATGGAAATAGTTTTTTGAATTGTACTGTCTGTAACTATGAAAAATTAATATTTTTTTTAGAATTTAAAGTTTTGTATCATGTCCTCTTAGAAAACCAGTTAAATATGGCTTTTATCCTCCTCTTCCTCAGGTGTGTAATGAAGATGGACCACCACTGCCCTTGGATCAACAATTGCTGCGGCCACCTAAACCATGCCTACTTCACCAGCTTCCTGCTGCTGGCTCCACTAGGATGCTCCCACGCTGCCATTATCTTCATCATGACCATGTATACTCAGCTGTATGAAAGGGTGGGTGGCCCCTTCCCTTTCATGTTTGTCTTTACCATTCTAGAAAGACTCTTGAAGCTGTTTTTTTTTTTATCCTAACTGCAGATATCATTTGGCTGGAGTACTGTAAAGATCGACATGAGTGCTGTTCGTCAGTTCCAGCCCCTCATGCCCTTCAGTGTGCCTGCTTTTGCTGCCACACTATTTGCCTTAGGTTTGGCACTGGGCACAACAATTGCTGTTGGTATGCTTTTCTTCATACAGGTAGGTGTTTTTCGAATGTTCTCAGGGAGTTTTAGAAAAACTTTAAAAACGAGGGAAAATTCAGTACATGTATTTTTTCGGCTCTGGTGGCTTTTTAGTATTTGATGTTATACAATATAATTAATTATTAGGAATAATTGCTGTATGCACGTACCATAGGTCACAGTATACTTGCTGTCATCTCTGAATGTGGCTTTGCCATTCAGAAATTAAAAAGCCGAAAGGCAGTTAAGTAAAGTTACCGTAAATCCTTTGTCCGCCACCTAAGAAGCTAAGTTATGAGCATTTTGTGCTACTGAAACATCTCCTGGAATTTCAGTGTTAACTTAGAGAAACAATTAGTGAAAGCTCAGGGAATGTTGTTGTCATGAAATGCTGGGAACCCTGACAGTGTTGAATGAGATGCTTCTTTGGCTTTAATCTTTACAAGTTGTATCAGATGTTGTTTGCTCTGTTTACACTGTAAGATAAAAATAATGCAGCTATTCTGTTATTTATGAAAAGTTTAAATAACTAAGCCTGATCCAGCATCAACGTGTGGCATGGAGGCTGCGTAGCTGCAGAAAGAAAAGCTTAGCAGAGAGTGGTGAAGGCTGCACAGAAGTCTTGGAGTCAGCCTCCCCATCACAGACATCTACACCTCTAGATGCAGGAAGAGGGCCACCTGCATCATGAAGGACCCTACTCATCCAGCGCACACACTTTTTACCCCGCTCCCCTCAGGAAGGAGGTTGAGGAGCATTAAGTGTAGAACCACTAGACTGAGGAACAGCTTCTACCCTGAGGCTGTTAGACTCACAAATCTCTAACTAGAATGATCACTGTGAAAAATCGCATCATGAAGCTGCTGATTTATTTCATGCTGCTGTGTTCGTTCCTACTCATCTGCTCACAGACTCATGTTCGTGCTGCTATTCGGCTTATTTTTTTTGTACTACTAATGCTTAGCGTATTTCTGGTTAACGTTTTTCTTAGTTCATATCTTAGATCGTATTACTGTTTTTCTTTTACATTTTATTGTGGGATGTAACTGGGACCCTTTGTTCCACCACATGTACCACATGTGGTGCGTATGATACGACAAATAAAGAACCTTGAATCCTGATCATAAAAGATGGTGTCTTTTTCAGATGAAAGTCATCCTCCGAAATAAGACGTCAATTGAGTCCTGGATTGAGGAAAAGGTCAGAACAACTTTTTATGTATGCCGTTTTGTTAGAACATTTTATCAAGCTAGAAAATTTGTTTTTTCTTAATAAGTGAAATAGTTTGGTTTTGGACATATTTTCAGCATTAAACAATTGTCTATTATTGTGGGTGGAAACCTGATTTTAGAATCATTGGTGTACTGGTTGAAGATATTTCTTGCAACACATGGTGACAGGTTTTTTGTTGTTTTGTTTTGTGACCAGGCCAAAGACAGAATACAGCACTACCAAACAGGGGAGGAGTTCATCTTTCCATATGACCTTGGCAGCCGCTGGCTGAACTTTAAGCAAGTCTTTACGTGGTCAGGGACACCCAAAGTGGACGGCATTGTGTGGCCGGTTCATCCCAAGTGTCACCAGCACACCTTAACAGTAGGTTCTAAATAATGTTTATCATTTTACCTTTAAATAATACATTGTTTACTCACATTATTTTAACATTAAATAATTATTAATAAAGCTGTATTCGAGCATTCTCCTATAATCCAATATCATCTTGTCGCATTTTGTGTTTAACATTTAAGTTAAAAGTTACAAAATAAGGCAATAGTGTCAGCATTAATTTATTTTCTCTGTTCTTTTTTGACACAGATAGAGCAGCTGAAGCAGAAAGCTGATAAACGAGTGAGAAGTGTAAGTTCCTGCTAAATGTGTACAGGGCTGTAGTCACTGTCATCAGATTTTAATTCCCTATTTAGTCACTTTTTAGCTATATGTGCTCCCATCGCCAAAAAGTGTTAAATATGTCACTTTATTCCAGTATATCACATTATTATTGCAGCTCATTGTATTATGAGACTTAACGAGGCTTATGTGTACGATCATAACGACGTATTTGATTAGTCAGGTAGTTTGAACTGACTTTGTGTTAAATCATTTGAATAAAATAATAATCTGAGTGTAATAATAATCAGATATTTGTTTGCCCTGTCTAGCAGGTCCAGTACCAGGTAGTGGAGGATTACAATGGAGCCTGCTGCCCCCTTAACAAGGGCATCCAAACGTTTTTCAGGACTCCCTGCACTGAGGAGCCCAGGATCGCCCTCATTAAAGGGGACATCATCCTGGCCACACGTGGCACTAAGTACATATACATATGCAGAACAAGAAACCAGACTTAAGTCATGTGCTTAAACGTCTGAGTAGTTCATTATTGTGTTTACATTTTGTTTTTGTAGATGGTGGATGTATGGAGACAAAGTTTTAAACGAGGAGAGACTGAAAGGTAATGAACAAAAAGCTTTTCCTGCTCTAATGGTCAGCAGTTAACCATGGCGTTATATTTCTTTGTTTTTCATTTTTGCTTTTTTTATAGCTGGGGAGCGCATACGAGGATGGTTTCCAAGGAGATGTGTTGAGAAGTGCCATTATGACATGGCTACCAGTGATAGCACCAGTGATAAGAAAGTAAATTAACATGTCAGCAGAGGAGTTGGACCAAACTGTTTTCTGTCCGAGTTTATAAATGTACGTCTACTGAAGATGTCACACCTGAGGCTGCAGGCTCAAAGAATTTTAACCTTTGATTAATTATGCTCGGACTTTGCTAAGGCTGCATCAAAGTTTTATGGAGCACTTTGCTGGTAAATGTCTAAAAAAAAAGTTTTTATGAGGATTAAGTAAGACTTCTCTGACCAAAACCACCAAACAAAAGTCTTAATTTTCAAGATTTGCCAACAGGCCTTTATGTGTCTTCATTATAATTGTGACTTTTTTCTTACTTGAATTTGTTCTTACTTTTGTTGATGTTCTTCTTTTCCTACTTATGCAATGCCTCTGCCCATCTAACCCCAGGGCTTCATGTTGCAACACTTTCTACAGAATTGAGATAAAACTTAATTGCTTTATTTTAATTTTTTTTTTTTTTGTAAAAACAAGTTGTTTGTGTCAGAGTATAAATTGCAAATAAAAAAAAAATCTTCCAGGAGTCTGGTTGTTTGTTTTAGCTTTTGTAATTGCCATACATTTTCTTATTGAAGAGCTTCAGGCTCATGAAAATTAATTGTGTAAGCACAAAGATAACATGCCTGCTCTGAAACTGCTACTGACGTTTTGTAAAATTGCCTGAGTAGTTGGAAATGCATCAAAATGATCACTGCAATTTACAGTTGAATAAATTCCTTCTGGCTTATTTGGTCCTTTTTAAAAGTCATTCTTTCAATTAAAATAATCTTTTTTTTTTTAGCTCATATAAGACGCATGCCAAGAACATTTATATTAGTAAAACTCTGCTACCTACATAAACATGCAAACAAATGAAAGTCACATGTAATTCTGTAGTAGGAAGGCTGTTCAGTTGTCAATAATAGATGTAAAGTTTCTGTTTACATTATTCAAGGTTTACTCTGTAAATTCATATAAAATTTACATGAGTCTCGTTTTATTTTTTCCTTCACAGCAATTCAATTCCGTAGTTATAATCTTCTCGAAAAACTATATATATATATTAATATATTTTTTCCAACATAACCTAATTTTGTTTTTTGAAATGTACATTTGTTGCGCCTCCCGGCCACCGTACTTAATCCTCACTGGGCCTTGTACTTGGTAGTTTTCCACAATGGAATTTGGATGTTGTTGAACGGTTCACCTGCCCAATAAGACTATGTATCCCATGATTCCCCGCCACTATAATTTCCCAGATCCTTTGACGAATCACGTTGCAGCAAATTTGTCACGTGATCTTCCTGTAGTGTAATTGGTTCTGCTCGTTTTTTGTTCACCGGAGTATGATATGACAGCAGCCGACAAGCGCCACAGGAAGAGTTTTTCATGTAATTGTACAAAGACATAAACGTCAACAGGAGAAGAAGGTGACGATCTTTCAAAGACAATGTTTGCTATAACATTAACTGTTGACACACACAAGAAAAACGTAATTTGATGATCATTCTTCATTGATAAATTCACACCACTTGACGTCTTCTCGTCATTTCAGTGCGGCGATGCCTAAATGATGCAGACCAAGTAACTTCTACAGTTTGTCAGTTGTCAGTTAAACAATGTAACTAGGCCACTCATGTGTAGTTATTCATCTTCACTGCACCTCTAACTCCTGCTCCATCTTTCTTTAGATTTGTTCATCATAGGTAAGCTGCTGCTAGTGTCTTTAACAGCCAGGTGGTCAGTCCAGAACGACTTCTGTGTGCCACGCAAATGTTGTCTGGAACAAAACACAAACTGCATAATGAAAATCATTTTACTGACGGGTTGAAATGTTTTTTTCTGCTCGCTTTGAACTCTTTATTTCGTGCCGTTGCTATTTCTTGTTCGCGTTATGTTTGTAGCACTAGCTAGCTAGCGCCTCAGCACACAAGTCAATCTCAGGATTTTCTGATAAGAAACGCAGTCCTGTTCACTGTGTTAGCCGCTACAGCTAACCAAACTGTGCAACTCACACATGTTATAAACACGTTTAAAGTATGAATAATTGTCTGTAAAGCCATTAATATGATCATTTTTCTAATTGGGGAAGTGGTTGTTTGCTGACAGGATGTGCAATTTAAGGTGTTATGAATTTGCTTGTGTTTATGAAGCACTGTGTGGATATAAACAAGGGAAGCTACGTGAACTACACCCTTGTTTAATGTAACCACATCACCTGGAAGTCTCACAGAATAACAGGGGATGTTGTCAGAGTTTTTTAGTTTTTCTTTTGCAAAGTATTATCACATAACCTCCAAATGTTACTAGTATGCAAACCTAATATTCGATCATTTAATATTGCTTTCCCCTCTTCTCCCCCTTTCGTGCTTTTCAGTGACTCCTTGACTACTGGGGCATCAGAGACTATCATGTTCAGCACAGGCATCCTTGTGCTGACGTCGCCGCTTCAGATTCTCCCTTTACGCATTGCTCCAGTCCTCAGCTCAGCTGCTCAGCTCGTAGACCGCACGCTGTACGTCCACCTCCATCCTGGGTTGAACCTGGGCAGTGGGAGCCAGCCTCGACCTGTTTTCATCCCCCCAGTGGTGGACCTGTCCTCGCTCATCACTCGCCTTTACAGCAATGCGGCGGACGTATGTGGGCATTTAGATATTCGCGTTTTGCTGAATAATGTACAATCCTGCAGCGGGGCGGCGACGCCAAACTGCCCCTTCCCCACGCCACAACCTCTGTCTCACTTCCCAGAGGTGGTGCTGACGGACTTTGCACTCCAGGACCCACATCAGTCCCATCAGGTCACTCAGTGTTTACAGAAGTACGCCGGTCTCTGCTACATCTGTAGGCCCGGTATCCCATCGGTCCTGCTTCACCCACAGCTCGGAAAGCAGCAGCAGAAGGAAGACCCTCTGATAAATCACGAGGAAAAGACAAAACCTTTGGAGACGTACAGTGATGTAGTTGTAGGGGGGACATTTGACCGCCTGCATGGAGCCCACAGGACATTACTCAGCATTTCGTGCCTTCTGGCTAATAAACGGTTTGTCATCGGTGTGTGCGACCAAGCTATGCTTAAAAGTAAGTATTCATGTAAAGTCAGTGAAAACCAAAACCACAAGCCAGTTGTCCTGACTTCCATTTCTCTCTGATTTTAGAAAAAGTTCTAAAGGAACTGATCGAACCGTACTCCGTGCGAGTGCAGAAACTTCAGGAGTTTCTACAAGACACCAAACCCTCACTGCAGGTGGAGATCGTGCCTCTTGAAGACCCGTTTGGGGTGTCTATAGTGGACCCCCAGCTGAAGTGCATTTTGGTTAGCGAGGAGACTAGAAAGGGAGGCGAAGCTGTCAACAAGAAACGCATAGAGAACGTAAGTTTGATTTAAAACATTTAATTTTCTTCATATTTGTCACGGGCGTACAACTGCACTTTTCTACAGTCAGAAAAAAGGTGAGCATATTTAATCAGATCGATTTTAAGAAAGGATGGAACTGTGTCAGAGTCACATGATCCGTAAAATGAATGCTCTGGACACCAATTTTACAGGATCAGGGTTTGATTTAAAACAACAGAACTCCTCTAAACTCAACTGAGATCACTGGAACAGTTTATTTAAGCTCTTATTGTTCGTCGCTTAAAATTAAACGGTGCCTAAACAGCATTTATTTCATGTGTTTTGTTGTCTGTTTTTTAAACCAGGGCCTCCCACCTCTTGTCCTTCATGAGATCCAGTTGCTTAAAGACGCCCACCGCAATGAGATCGAGGAGGAGAAGATCAGCTCCTCCAGTCTACGCTCTCGTCTGCTGGGCACCCTCCTTATTCCACCTAAAGTAAGGGCTGCTGGGTTATCAAATAATGTCGTAAAGATAGCTTTAAGAGTAAAGAGTGATAGTTTATACAGTAAATGAACCCAGTGTTACTTCTATGCATCAGAATCAAGTTTACCAACAGAGAAGAAGGAAAAAAAACACTTACAGTATCTAACCTCTGAAACAAGACTTACCATATTTTCTGGACTATGAGTCTCTCTGGAGTATAGGTCGCATCAGTCAATATATAGGATATCAGAATAACAAAGTCCATGCTCAATAATCCAGGTATACAATCCAACATTTTTCAGTCTGGTCATCTGGACAGTTTCTTTTTTTTTTGTGCTGAAACATTTCGCCTTCGATCCAGAAGGCTTCATCAGTCAAGGAAACGCACAACACAAAACTGATTCTTCCCCCAACAGCTTACTCCAAAGTGGAACAAACCAGTTCTGTTGGTGCTAAGATGGTGTCTTTGTCACGCCCCCTCCTCCATTGCCGGCCCTCTTCCTTGTTGACAGGCGAAACGTTTCAGCACAACAAAAAGAAACTGTCCAGATGACCTGACTGAAAAATGTTGGAGGATATCAGAATGTTTTTATTTTTAAAAACTGTTAAGAAATTCTTCAAAAAATGAGCCTCTATGAAAAAAGTGATTGTGCAGGAACAAAATAACCTTTTTATCTATCTAATTAAGGGTAAAGTCTTCTGTAAAGTTGAAATCCTGAACTTTACTTAGTCAAAATGTGGCAGGAGCCGCTAACAAACATGCTAAAGTTGAAAGGGTTCTGCACAGAGGAATGAATTAAAACTTCTTCAGATTTGCAGAACTGATCATTAGTTTCCCATATTGCTGTGCAAGAAGGTATCTTATTAAACAGTCACGACAGTACATGACTATTTTATTAAATAAGTTCAACAAAAATAAGACCCTCTTTATTTTATTTTTTGAGTTGTCTTTATTTGCTTTTAAAATCTGTGAATGGTTAAGTCATATTTTAGCAAAAGTGTTTTTGAACTCATTTTATTTGACTACTAGCCAATTATAATAGATTTATAACCTCAGCTAAGGTTTATGTGAGCGAATCACTCAAGCAGTTGTTTTTTTCTTTCCTATTTTATCTATTTAATACTTATTTTTTATTGAAAAATATATATTTCCTAATGTTTTTTTCATTTCACCTTTATTTAACCAGGCGTAAACACTAAGAAGAAATTCTTCTTTGCAGTGCTGGCCTGGCAGCACCAACAGGTACCTGTAGGGTCAAGTGAAGGGAAGTAAGGCAAAACCATGAAATATAGAAGTCATTAACAAGCAATGACAAATTACATTAACAGAAGTTCATTGTCAAAGTCAAACGACAACATTACTAAGCATGAAAACATTCGCAAGTATTTTTAAAAACGGCTTTTAAACGATTTTTAACAATCGATACAAGTGAGGTCAGAGCAGATCAATGTGTACATTTGTTTATTCATTCTTCCTAAAGCCCTCAACGAAACAGTGCATCTTTTTTGGGGGAAAATGATCCAAATTGCTTGTTTCTGTTTACTGAAACAAAACATTAAACCCAAAATGAATCAGCGATGTGAGGGTAAACATTTTCCTTCTTAAAAAAAAAAAAAAAATGCAAGAAATGAGCAAAGAGTGGCCGAGGATCCATAATCCAGCATGTGTTTTTTATGACACAATAACTCGTTCTGGATGATAAATATACAGCTTCATGCGTTGGTATGGGAACTTGTTTCTCGTTTTCTTCATCGCCCGTTATCTGATGTGGATTTTTGCTGCGAGCGTGCACATCCAGAGCAGGTCTGACGTGTTTTAACCTTTCGTTTCACTTCCTGGGGGCAACATTTATACATATGTCACCTCCACCTGTAATGTCGTGTTTCAGCGCTGCTGTGTTTGTTGTATCTCGTGTCTCCTCTGTGCCAGGACACGTCCCACCTCCCTCCTCTTCCCTATGTGATTGGTCTGACAGGAGGCAGCGGCAGTGGAAAAAGTTCCATTGCCAAACAGCTGCAGGCTCTTGGCGCAGTTGAGATCGACTGCGACAAACTGGGTCACGAGGTGTACCAACTGGGCACAGGGGCCTATCACAAGGTGCTGCAAGAGTTTGGGTCAGGTAGGAGAGCATCAGTTATATTTGACATCCCCATAGATTAAATATAGAATGACACTGATTTGTGTTTAAAAACCGCGATTACTAACTCCACTGCTTTGATAATTTCCTTTTCTTTCTTTTTAGAAATACTGAACGAGGATAAAACCATCAACAGACGTGCATTAGGGAAAAATGTGTTTGGAAACCAGGTAACGTTCTTCTATAGAATGTTTCTGCCTTTCTGCAACAATGGAGCCGCATTTTTGAGCCATGTGTTTGTTTCAGGAGCGTTTAAAATCTCTAACGGACATCGTGTGGCCTGAGATCGCACGGCTGGTGAAGCAAAGAATCAACCAAGCCAGAGACGAAGGTTTGGACTTTACTTCAGTATTTTAAGCACTGCTTTGTTTTTGTGGTAAATTTCTATACATTTCATCAATTTTTTCCATCTGTGTTGGAATCAATGCTTTTTATCATAACAGCCTACTGGGACTGATGTGAATGCCTAAATGTGCTACAGAACTTTATTTGTACCATCTTGTCCTCTTCTGAGAAATGTTTTAGCTTAATCTCCAAGAAGTTGTTTGTATGTTGTCTTAAAGGCACCACATTTACAAATAACAGAAAATAATACAGCGTCTGGGATTCTGATAAATCACTGTCCACCTTCCTGTGATAGAAACTATAAATGATCAAACTGGATCAAAAAATGAATATATGCATTTAAAGTCCGAGGAATTATTAACCGCCTTTAAGCATGACGTAATGAAACATAACTGGGATGAAAGAGATGTTAATGGTGCTTATGAAGTATTCCTTGGAATATTTACTTAATTAGTTAATTATCCAGTTTTCAAAAAATACTTGAACAATTATTTAACAGCCAATTAGAAAACATTATAGACAAACATAAACTACTCTCTGAGAGTCACTACAGGTTTAGATCAAATAGATAATCATCATTGGCATTTTTTTTTTTTTAGTCCCATGTTTTATTCTCTCTAGATATTTTATATTGTAGCACTTTGTACTGCAATTTTTACAATCTCAAATTGAATACATTATTATTATGTTATTATGAGACTCAGTAGAATGCATCACTAATTCCATAGACAATAAGCTGAATGTGGTTGGGTTATTTGTTGGTTTAAGAAAGGCTTTTGACACAACAGGTCAGAGCTGTTAAACTAAAGTGCTCAGGGGGGCACAGTTACTGAAAGCCAAGAGCTCAGAGGCCAGACATCCAGCAGTTATTCTCATTAAGTTTGTTTTACAATTTAAAATCTAGTTTAATTTAAAAATAAACCCATTGGTGGGCCGAACTGAGCACACCCATGGGCTTGATTTGGTCCCCGCGCCACCACTTGAAGAGCCCTGCAATAGATCATGATATATTATTTGATAAACTGGAATGATAGCTTTAAAATGGGTCAAGAGTTATTTAAGAAAAAGGCAACAGTTTATGAAGCTAAATGATTGTTGCTTTTTATGTTTGAGCATTGTTTGTGGTGTTCCTCAGGGGTGCGTTTTAGGCCCTAAACTGTTTATTTTAATAACATTTGCAATGTGCCCAAAGTGTTAAAAATGATACATATGTTTTTGTTCTGGTGACAGTTGGCAGAATTTACTTGATGAAATGATGACTGTAATTAAAAAAAAAAAAATAAAGATCTGGTTTATAGAAATAAGTTGTCACTAAATTTGAATTAAACTAAAATAATGTTATTTGAAAGTACCACATCAAATACACAAGTAAAGATTCAAATAAATAGGGTTGATAAAGAAAGAGTTAGTGAAATCAGATTTCTTGGGGTAGTAGTGGATGAGAGGATTAGTTGGAAAGCTCAGATTAAATATATTCATTAAATCATCAAAAAGCATCGCAGTACTGAATAAGGCCGAGCAGGTGTTACATCAGGCATCACTCCATGTCCTCTGTTTGCTAGTTTCACCCTGTGTGGAGATCTGGAGTAATAATTATAAAACATTACGTTCATTTTTTTATTCTCCAGAAAAAAGAAAAAAGCAATTTGGGATCAGACAAACTTTGTTCTTACAGATCAAAACACTGAAACTCTCAGATCTGATAAAGTTACAAACACTACATATTTTGTTCAGAGCCAAACAAGATAATTTACCTAAAAATATTCAAAGTATGTTTCTTTTTCGGGGCGAAGGTTACAGTTTAAGGGTTTTTTGTCAAATGAAAGTTGTTGATGAGCACACTGAGGAAGATTTTTTTTTTTGTTTTTGTCTTTTGGTGCATGGAGTTGAAGCAACATGTCCCAATATAAAAATGTTTTTAAATGAAATTATTTGTTTGAAATATAAAAATGTGTAAAAACTATGACTTATACTAAGAATTTGTATCTGAATGTTGTAAATATGTATTACTTTCATTAGCGATTGTATTAATAAGGAATTGGATAAGTGAAAATTGATAATGGTGAATGGGTGGGATTAATTAAGTACGTACTTCTTCCCACACTTTTTTGACGTGAGCTAAACAAAAATTGGAGCAATATTTGTGCACCTTTTAATTTTTTTATGGTTTTGTTTATCTCTTCTTTGCTTAAAATGATTATATGTATTAACATGTTTAAAATAAGATAAACAAACAAAACAACAAAAGGCCCATTATGCTTTAAAGGTCATATAGTGCTGTTTTAGTTCAAACACTTGGCAGGCATGATAGTTTGCTATATGGTGTTATCAATTAACAGAAGTCAGGCTGGACTACAAATGAGTCGATCAGTCAGAAAAGATTAACTTGGACCTTCGTAACTCTTACCTCTGTGTGCATCTAAAAGGTACGCAAGATACTGAAGGGAAGGAGAAAACCAAAAAGAGGGTTTCTGGTTCCTGCAGGGTCTTAACTGCCCAGATTTTCCTTTTTAGGTCTTCATTGCATCAACTCTTTTTTTAATGTCGTCTGCTTTTATTTGTTCTTTTGGAGTTCTGAGGATTTCAGACGTCATTACACAAGCAAAACTAAAATACCCATCATGCATCAGTCTTGTGAGAAGGAAATGATTTGCAAACCTGCAAGAGTTTGCTCCTGAAACAGGTTTTAGTTTGTTAAATTAATTAGAACTGAAATTAAATACAATTATGTTGCAAAAACGTCATCAACTTATCTTTGGTATTCATTTTATTTCGGGTCTACATTTGAATCCTAAGGGTGTTTTTGAGGTTTGGAGTCACATTTAAGTGAATGGAACTTGCAAAAACTGGAAAAAAGTCTTTTTTTTTTTTTTTACTGACATTAGCTTTTCTAATTAGATCTAAATAGATTTAAACAGATACATCTGCAGTTTCATTCATGAGAAACTACAAGGCTTTAATACTGAACTTTGTCATGTGGGTGACTGAAAACAAAGGTTTGGTTTGTGAGTAAATCAGTTAAAAGTGAAAATAAACTCCATGTTAATGTTGGTGTTTGTCACAGGGTCTTCTGCTGCATGTTGGATCCTCTCCAAGCTGTTTATGTCCTTTGAATTTAAATTTATTTTGCAGGGAAACGGGTGTGTGTGGTAGATGCAGCGGTTCTTCTAGAGGCCGGCTGGACAGACTTGGTCCACGAGGTTTGGGTCACCATCATCCCCGAGGAGGAGGTAATGTGTTCACATGACACGAACATGATTCAGCTTTGTCATAAGATGATGTGAATCATGTGATGGAGGAAAAAGTTGTGATACTTTCTCAAATAGTTTAAAATTTTGTACCGTGTCTGTTTTTGTAACTTTTAGATGTCACCACTAGAGTGCGCCACCGTCGTTTCATCCGCCTCTTGCTTGCCTTTTCTTCTCAGGCGGTGTTGAGGATAACGGAACGGGACGGCGTCAGCACAGAGGACGCCCTGCGCAGACTGCGGAGCCAGTGGCCGAGCGACAAACAAGTCGAGCACGCTAACGTGGTGCTGAGCACCCTGTGGGAGCCAGAGGTCACTCACAAACAGGTCAGACACGTCCTCCTTCAGTCACCAGATGTGGGTTTCATAACGTTATTATGGATGTTCTTTATCTTTAAGGTACTGAAAGCTTGGCATCTTCTTCAGAAGAGGATCCAACAGAAAGCCGAGGGACTATAAGAACATGTCTGGGTCTCTGCATCACATCAGCGCTGACTCATGCACACACAACATGCATCTGTCAGGCCTAAGGACATGTGTGCATCAGTGACTAATCCAAATATGGATATGCTGCCTTAAAAGAAGGAAAAAGTAAAGTCATGAAACTACTGCAAAATATCCAGAAAACTCCCTCCCTTCATTGACCAAGACCTGCTAACATTTTCATTTATTTTTATTATAGAGTTGGATGTGCTGAGAAGAGGTGAACTTTACAATAAATTAAGTGTAAATCTTTTTATTAATAAAGCATTTCGGTCAGATTTTAACTAGATTTTTATTTAAAAGAACAGCAGTCTTTTAGGTGATAAATGAACTTTTTAAAGCCGTAACCTAAACTGTTGCTAATTGCTAATAAGGACTTTTACCTTAAGAGTCTCAGGAAAGCAAACCGGATGGAATTATGAAAATTTTATTTTTATTTTCTGCCTTTGGGGAAAGACTTTAAATTGTGGAGAAATACAAGGCAATAAAGAGACAAAACTAAAATAAATGCATTGGAGACGAACATAAAACATTAATAAAATTGTGAAACAGAGTTGGGGAAGTTTTCTTTGTAGCAAATCAGTAAATTAGTTTAGAAACTTTTTATTAGTTGAATGTACAAGATGGAAGACGTGTACAATCAGACATGATGCTTTCTGCATATTTTACACGAGCCAGTTGCAACTTGACCACACGACTTCCACCAGAGTATTTCAGCGCCGCTTTGTCCGACAGACCCTGAAAGCCTCAGAGTAGAGTTGTCAATCAGGGTGCTAATGCAAGCCACAGAAAATGTATTAATGTTTACAAAACATGCAAATACTCTCTGCTTTAGTCGTGCTATAACAGAAGTAAATTGTCTCAAGTTTCATCAAAAACATGAAATAAAAAGTTTTATATCGATACGACCCCCTTTTCCTCGTTTAGAACATTCCACTCCACAGAAAAGACACTTCTTTAAAATGTTGCCTTTATAAACGTTTATATGTGAACAATAGCCCTAATATACAAAATGTGCATTTATTGCGAGATTTATAAAACTAATCTCAGCCCTGGTAGCGTCTCATCACCTTGTGTTTAAAAACAATAGCCACATATTAAAAGATACAAAGTGCACTAACAGTAAAAAAAAAAAAAAAGTGAAACTAAAGCATCTAAAATCTTTTTGACATTTTAGTTTGTGATAAACTCGTGAAAACGGTGCAGGTTTACGCATAAAGGAAATCCTACCCCTGCCTGCTCACATTCTCTTAAAGCTCCACGTGCAGTTTGGCAGCGCACATCGCTTCCCCCAGCTGGTTTTTGGCTCTGCACGCGTAGACCCCCGAGTCGGAGGGCGTCAGATCAACCAGAACCAGAGAACAGAGTCCGTCTTCGAGCTGCTGCACAGTCGCCTTGCTCGAGTCAGACAACAGCTGGCCGTTATGAAGCCACTTCACCTCAGGCTGTGGGTGCCCTAAGATTGAGAAAGCTTTACTAGAAAACAGAATAGACCAAGTCCTGATTGCATGTGGGAATCATTTTAAATATATTTGAAGAAAATATGGCTTTTATAGTCAAATTTGTTGACAGTAAAACTGAACGCATGTGATGGAGTCTGTTCCTACCATCAACGAGGCAGGTCAGCTCAGCAGTCGCTCCCTTGGGAAGGCTGGCGTCCCTCAGGGCCCGCTGGAAGCGAGGCTCGCTCTGCAGCTGCTTGTCCAGAGACCGGATGGCCTCCTCTGCCTCCCGGCTCCAGGCTGGCTCTGGATCAGAGAGGGAGAAACGAAGCCTTGCTGATCACAAGAGTGTGAACTGGAAGCGACATCGCCACACTGCGAGTCATCGGCCGTATGGAGGCAGAGCTGTGGCGAAGGAGCGCATGGTGTGTGTTACCCTCAAAGGAACCGCCAGGAGAGTCTGGCCTGCTGGAGAGGTTAGCGATGCGTTTCAGGGCCAGGACAGCTTGGCCAGTTTTCTGGAGTTTTGAAGGAAGAAACACAGAAACAATGCATGACAAACCAGTCTCATAGCTGAACTCAAAGTCCATGTTTTAAGACTTGAGATGAAAATATTAAATTTTAGTTACCATATTTTTCTCTGCATAAGTCGCACCTTTTTGCATAAATGTGTATGTCCTGCAACTAATATACATTTTCCCCATATTTATAAATTAATTTATGGCTGAGATCTGACAATTTCATTCATTCTGACAGAAAATATTGAACACTACCATTTTCAGCCACTAGAGGGCCCATGAGTTATATGGCAAGCCAAGTGTCTCATTAATAGGTAAAAGTGGCTATTAATGAGACACTTGGCTTGCCATACTGTGTCACCATCTTGCTCCAGAACTCCAGGAGCAAACGTCCAATCAGCTGCATTTGACTGCGTCACCCAGGCGAAATGCAGCTGATTTGACCGTTGAAGTGCATTTATTAAAGGAAAAGTTCAACTGAGACACACCTTTACTATAATGTAGAGCAAACAAATAATTGTTTTTAAGTGTTAATCTTGTGAAATTCTTGTTAAAGTCTTCCCATGCACACTTCTGCAGCCGCCATTTGATTTTTGCCACAACACCGGCCCACGTTTCAGGGAGGTCAGCGGTGATGCGTAATAGATGTAACTTATTTGTTTTTCCCACTTTATTAGACATTTTTGGACTGATGCAACTTATACGGTGATGCGACGTGTATGGCGGAAAGTACGATAATTCTAAGGGTATGACATTTCCAGTTGATACCTTCCATTTGCGTCTGGCCAGAAAATGCTTCATCTTGTCTTTCCTCAGGGATTTAGTGGGTCTGCGGTTCAGAGGGGTAAACGAAGCCATCCAGGAGTGGGCGAGGGCCTCCGTGCAGGACAGCCTGGCTCTGGAGTTTAAGTGAGCATTATTAATTTGTCTTTGCAAGATGTGATCAAGAAGAAGAAGAAGAAAAAAGTGCAGACGAACCTTCGATCTTTCATCAGCAGGGAGCTAATAAAGTCTTTGGCCTCAGCAGAGATGTCTTCGAAACTCTCAGGGTCAAACTCGAAGTCAGCGGCCGTCACAAGAGCTAAAGTCTCTGCGTCGTTGTTCCCTTGGAACGGGGATTCGCCACTGAGCCTGGATGACAAAATCGCCCAAAGTTTAGCTCAGCCTCTGTAACATTGACCAAGTTATAGCCATTTTTGGATAAACTAATGTTGAGCTGTGGCAGCCATCTTGAACTAAATTAATCCGTTTTTAGATGTATATTAATTGATTATTTTAATTAAAGTTTCATCTGCATATCCATTCAGTGGTCCATGAGATATTTTGCAAGCAAAGTTTACTTCAATGGTTAATGCTACATCTCTAAATGACTCTCAGCTACTACCACACCAAGTTTTAGTTCAATATCTATCAAATTTACTGAGTTATAGCCGTGGTTTTGTTTACTAAATAGAGTTAGTTATGATGGCCGTCTTGAATTGGGATGGCTCCAAAATTTAATGCGTTGTAGATGTTCATCCACTTCGTATTCCTGGAAAGTTTCAATAAAATCTGTTCATTGATTTATGAGATATTTTGCTAACAGACAAACAGCGAATGATAATGGCAGCAGATGTTACACAGTCTGGTAGTGCTCAGATGTGTGTCGGGATTCAGTGTCAGCTACTACCACAGCACATCTTGTGTCAACATCTTTAAATCGACTGTTGTAACCACTTTATTGCTTTAAGGAAAGTTTGCTATGGCAGCCATATTTAATTGGATTAACTCCCAAGTGAATCAGCTGTAGTTGTATGGAAAGCATTTTCATTCAAAATTAAATAAATATAGTGTTATGTTAAAAATATTAATAAATATTCCATTAAATAAACAAATGTTCCCATGAAAGAAAAAGCCCCGCCCCCTCATTTGAATATAAGAACATGAAATAAAAAGCAGTTAAAATGAAAAACGGGGTTAAAAAATAAAAGCCCATGAAATATGTAAAGTATCTTTACAAAATAAAAGTGTCACAAAATGAAATTCTGTTATTAAATAAATAAATCTTGAAATAAATAAAAATTAATCTTGAAATAAATAAAATATGAATCTTGAAATAAATTTAAAAAATAAGTCTTGGGGGGGGAAAACATTTCTATTTAAATTATTTAGTTCATGGGAGCATTTACTTATTTAATGGAATATTTATTAATAATTTTTAAACAACACTATTTATGCATTTTATTTATTTAATGGAATATTCATATTTTTTAAAGAACACCATTTATTTATTTTATTTTGAATGAAATGGCTTTTCCTATAGATGTACATCCAGTGGTTACTTTCTGCAGGTTTCATTCAGATTTGTTCAGTGGTTCATGAGATATTTTGCCAACAGGCACACAGACACAGTTAATGTTGATTTAATTTACTCCAGGGAAAAAAAAACATTTAGACTAATTTTCATGGATAAGGCCTGTCATAGTAGGATAGAACCAGCAGATGGCGCTAAATCTACACATCACTTATTCAAAGGTAAGAAATCAAACAAAATGTAGACTAAAGTCTTTGTTTGGTTCCATCTCACTGATACATTTAGTAAAGCACAAGAAGCTGAACCTACAAAATGAAGCAGATCACTCCAATGCTCCACATGTCCGTCTCCAACCCCACGGGCTCGTAGTTGACCACCTCAGGTGCCACAAACTCTGGAGTGCCATGCATCACCATCACAGGTTTACCCTTCTCTGGAAAACAAGACAAAACACGATCAACCTTCCTGGCTTTCTAATCATAGCCAGATGTTCTGCCTCACTGAGCTTCACATCTTTATCTGCCTTTACTGACATGAAGTAGTTCTTAGTTGATCTGTTCAAAGAGCTGCCATGACGTCATTGCAGTCGCAAACCTACAGGAATTCAGACATTCCTTGATCTTATCATTGCCATGAGTGTTTTCTCACCTAGTTCAGTGGCTAAGCCAAAGTCAATTATCTTGATCCGTGTGCCGGACGGATCCACGCAGACAATGTTCTCCGGTTTGAGGTCCAGGTGGATGATGTTCTGCTTGTGAACGTACTGCATGCCCTCCAGGATCTGCTGCATGTAGCGAGCACTGGTGGGCTCTGTGTGCTCAAAGTGGTCGTCCACGATGCGTTCAAAGAGTTCCCCGCCTGCGATGCTAAAAGGACAAACAGTCACTCTTGTTGTCAAAGCTCATGCTCAGTCCAGGTAAAAATCCAACAATGTTCAGTCAGGTCATCTGAATGGTTTATTTATTTTTTGGCTGAGACTTTTCATCCTTCATCCAAAGGACTTGTTCAATCTGAGGAGCCACCAAACAAACTTGAGTCCCACAAACAGCACACTCCCATAGTGGGGAAAAAACAGTTTGCTGGTGATAAGTCACTCGTGCTCACAACACGAACTCAAGCCTTGATGATGCAGAAAAACACAGCCATGTATTTATCACTTCTAGTATGGACTTTATAATTCTGTATTATCAGGAAGTCTGAAAGACTCATCTAAAGTTGATCCAAAATGTTGCTGCTAGAGATTTTTTTTTTACCCTCCTATTTTATCTCGTCTCCACTGGCTCATTAAAATTCAAGACAATTTTACAATCTCACTTCCAAAACACAAAGCTCTCAACAACCAAGCTCCATCTTAAACTACGGATTTTGTTGTTTCATATTACCCAAACAAAGCACTTCACACTCAGATGGCAGGTTTACTTGTGGTTCCTAGAGTTTCAAACAGTACAATGGGAGTCAGGGCTTTCTCTTGTGGAACAAAATTCTAGTTTCTGTCCATGAGGCTGGCGCCTTGTCTACGACTACGCTTGAGACTTTCCTTTTTGATAAATCCTAAAGTTCGAGGTTTGCTTAGGTTCTCTTTGCTATCCCTTGCTTTTGCTGCTATAGGCTTAGACTGCTTTAGGACAAACTGACCACATCTCCTCCCTCTACTGCTGTCGGTACTCGTTCTTCTCCAACTCTACTGGTATTTACAATTATTGCCATCTTCCACACGTTTTGTTCGTTTTTCTTCCCATAGAATCTACAACTAAACCAATCTTTCTTTCTTTGCGTCTCATTCCTGTCTGCTCAAACTCGAGCAGTCAAGGCAGACGGCCGCTCGTTATATACTGCTGCCAGTGTCTGAAACTCATCGCATACGTACAAAAAGTTTACCACATGAAGATTTCTTACTACTCCATGACCATGGCCATCTCTGAACGAGTATCGTAGGCAGCCAGACACTGGACAATCTTTGGGTGCTGAAGCTTGTTCATGAGTTGGATTTCTTTGCGAGCTGCTGACTTATCCTTGGAAGTTCGGGCTCGGTAGAACTTGGCCGCACTCTCTTGACCCGTCTCCTTGTGAGTCAACCGGTACACCTCGCCAAACTTTCCACTGTTTAAAGGAAAAATATTTAAGAAGCATTGTGAGTGGTCAGTAACTCTCAACCAAAGAACTGGTTAAGATTTGATCTTGTTAAAGTAATGAAGCACTGGAAAAATAAAATCCTTGCTTACACTCCCAGTTTCTCGTGCACATTGTAATGATCCCTGACCTTGTGTTTGGTGTCAATGGTGACAGTAACGTACGACTCTGGCTCTCCTTTCTTTTCCTCTTTAGGCACAAACACACAAAAAATAATCAGTTTTCTCATAACATTTGTGTCAACCACACTACTTTACTCACTTGCAGTCGCCATCTTGACACACTCAGACTCCCGGCTCGGCTCGCTGATCCCTACCGAGTTGTACGCTCTGACGCGGAACCAGTACCGTCCCAGAGGCTCCAAGCCCGAGTGAATGTGGTACGATGTGTTTTCACACCTGCTTATTTCAGTCCAGCTCCCAGGCTTGTTGGGGACTACTGGACTGGCTTCTACAATGTATCCCAGCACAGCGGTGCCTCCGTCGTAGCTTGGGCCGGTCCAGGAGAGAACCAGGGATTGGGTTGACACCCTGGAAGCTAGGGGCTGGGACGATGGTGGAGTAGGTCGGTCTGAGGAGAAGAGAAACTGTATTTTGACATATATTGTAAACCTGGAGACACAGTCTTAGTGCCAATTTATCCTCCTTAAGTCAATTATTTCCTAAAGAAATAGGTTTATACCATTGATTTGTCTTGTTTATGTATCTGGAGCAGGAATCATGTCTCTTATCAAGATACTCAAAGCGCTTTGCACCACAATCTGTGCCTCATTTACCCATTCATACAGCTCTCTACTATACCTTTACAAAGAATAATCAGTGCTTTCACATTCCTACACGAATGGGACACACATCGGAGGCAATGAGGGGTTCAGTGTCTTGCCCAGGAACACTTCAGCATGTGACTGCTGGTGGAATCGAACCCCCAACTCTTGCATTGGAGGATGACTGATCTAACCACTCATCCACAGCCGCCTCAGAAGCGATGCTCAAGCAGTTCTAGGGAATAATAGTGTCCTTAGAACTCACCTACAACACTGAGAGACACTGTGTGCTGAGCAGAGCCGAATCTGTTTTGGACAACAATAGTGTATGAGCCTGCGTCTTCTGGGACAACTTTGGAGATCTCCACGCTGCTTTGGGACACCGTCCTCTGAACTGAAGTCCGAGGGCCTCCCGCCACCACCTGGATTGAAAGAAGGAAGCCAGAGGAGTTTTTAAAAAATGAGAAGTTTGAGCGACTGGAGGGCACACATAGATCAGCTCTTAAATCATGTCAGCGTGTAAGAGTTTTACTTTGCGTTTGTTGTAAATCCAGCAGCAGGCCACAGGAAGAGAGCCGCTCTTGAACTCACACTTTAGCCGAGCCTGCTCACCCACACAAGCCTCAACCTTCTCTGGTGGGTCAAGGAACAATACAGAAGGCCCTGTTTTCACAAGAGAAAGACACGTGTAACTAAATTAAAACCTTTGCTCGGTTGCTTACTTGAAGTGGATTTTCTTCCCTTACCTTTGTTTGTGGGGACTTTTGCTTGAACGCTGGTGCCTCTGATAACTGAGGAATGAAGAAGTAAGTGGATTTACAGGTGTGTTGCATGATAGGGGAATTTAAACAATGGCTAACCAATCAGACGGCAGCAGTCAAGTTGGGTTGTGAGGATATCAGTGAACTGAACTCGCAGCCAGTGAACTGTCAGTTCGTGGTGTGCGATACTGCAAATTTTGCTATGATCCGATACCAAGTAAATATAGGTCCAGTGTTACCGATACTGATACTTTTAGTAATTACAGTGAATTTTGATTATGTTTATGTGTTTTGTGATTTTTTTTTTTCCTTTTGATCATTCATTAGTTAAAACCCAAGATAGAATTAGGCAAAGTTTATATAAAAAATACTTTATTATAATACAAGTTTTTTTTTCTGAAAAATAATATGCTGCTGCTTAGTCGGGCCTGCTTCCTTGCTTGTCTGGCGACGCTGAGTCACATGATGGGATAACATCAAAACACTGTGGGTAGGGGCGGAGCTAAGTTGCCTGCTCTGTGCTGTGACAGGAGCAGCACTTACAGTCAGCTCACATCTTTGCTGAAACCGCAGCATACAGGAAAGAAACTGAAGTTAAAGAATCAATCTCATTACACTGGTACTGATCAATATCAATACCAATGTATGTATCGATATTATCAATATTTGGATAGATCCGCTCACTACTACTGTCAGTTTCTTCAGCATCATTCAGCGCCTATTTACACTGCATTTTTGAAGAACATTTACTGCTGGACATTTCCTGCCTTTCAGTATTTTAAGTGTTCCCATTTCTTATGCTTATTTAAAATTGAACATTAAATCGGAGTGGATTTAAGAGCTATTTAAATGATTTTCAAGTATACCTTTACCTGTGTCCTCTCTGCGATGGTTTTTTCCTTCAGCAGTTGAGGACAGGTTATTGTTTCCATGCGCTGCAGCCTTGAATGTGTCACAGTTCGTTGCTGCTCCTTTTTAAGCAGAGTGACACAAAAGTTCATTGTCAACAGATCTTTTCAGCGATTACTGGTTATACAGGTCTTTATCTCGCTGAGGAATGTATAACTTTACCTGTGATTTGTAAAACACCACTGCTTGATCTTTTTCCTGCACTATTTTCGGCCACGCAGGTGTACACTCCAGCATTTCCAGTTGAGCACCGAGTTAGGGTCAGACAGGCAACACTTGTCTTGAAGGAAGCGCTACCGGAATTCACCGTTACCCCTAAATACACGAAGAGTTCACGTAAGCAGAAAAATGTCCTTAAACTAAAATCCTATGGAAAACATTTTCTCTTTGTTTGCTTGTTGTAATTGCATGTTTTTTTTTAAGTAGAGCATTTACCATTGTGCAGCCAGGAAACTCTCATCGGCTCACTTCCTGTGATGACACCATGAAACGTAACGTCACCTCCGTCACCAGTCAAGCAGTCCCTGAGTGGTTCTTTAAAGCGAGGGGCTTCCACAGTCTGAACTTTAGTCTGTTTGACATCTAAGCAGGAGAGAAATTGTTAAAAAAAAATCATCCGTCATTCTTCATTCTTGTTCTTTGCTGACCTTATAAATCCTAAACCAACTGTTATCGCCTGATAGAGCGAGGCAAAGGCAGATCATGTTGTTGCCAGTCTTTGCATGTGTGCATGGATTTGAATGAAATACGCAAAAATAAATCATTAAATCATCTCTATCTAATAAACCTTTGGAGTCAATCCAATTCATAATAGCTTCCAAAGTTACGCAACCTTAGCAAACACAAAAATAGCTTTAACACTGTCAGAATTACAGATGTTGAGCTAAAATTTGATGTAGTGGAGTGACAAGGATGAATAAGATTAGGAATGAGATCATCAGAGGTACAACACGGGTTGGACAACTGGGAGATAAAGTTAGAGAGGCCAGACTGAGATGGTTTGGACATGTCCAGAGGGGGGACAGTGGGTATATTGGTAGAAGGATGTTAGAAATGCAGCTGCCAGGAAAAAGACAAAGACGAGATATATGGATGCAGTTAGAGAGGACATGGGGGTAGTTGGGGTGTGGACAGAGTGAGATGGAGGAGGATGACTCATTGTGGCGACCCCTGAAGAGGGAAAAGAAGAAGTAACTGAGTTTTCATCATTGTATACTCCAAGCACTTTGGCGACAGTGGAAAGGAACAACTTCTTTGTAACAGACGAAACCTCAAACAGAACCAGGCTCTGGAGTTAATCCAATTCAAAATAGCCTCCACATGGTGTTAACCAAAACAAAATGTCTATAACCTGTAAAATTTGTCAAAATATTAAGCTATAATTTGGTGTGGTAGTAGCTGAGAGTCATTCACAACAAATCACTTGAGGTAAGTTTCTTTCGGCTGCTCCCTTCTTCATGCGTTGCCACAGCTTGCATGAAAGATTTGGCAGTGGTTTTCTGCTGGATGCCCTTCCTGGAGCAACCTGGGCTCGAACCTGCAACCTCAAGATTACAAGACTGCAGCACTAACCACCAAGCTACCACAGTCTCTGAGGTATGTTATAATACTGTGCGTAATATTATTTTCAAAGTTTGACTAAAATGGCAACCACTATGTTATATGGTGTGTCATGTGGTGAGTGGTTTGAGTGGGCGGGCGGCGCCCTAGCGCCCTCTATTGACGAGCCGCCCCTGTACCACTCCATCATTTCTCTTCATAGTCTAAATCTCTGGCATGAAAAACCGTTGCTTTCAAGGAATGCTAGAACGTTAATTTCAGATGTGCTTCTTAACGACTTGATTAATTTAAATGTTACAGCTGTTGGAGAAAAATATTTGCGCTTTATCGTACTTACTCAAAAGGAACCACACTTGACGGCAGGAGAAGATTTTTAACCGGTATTTACTTGCAAGTTCAGGTTTTCAGAACAGGTGACACAGATATACAGGAAGTGTACGCATGAAGACCAGACGCGAGAATCTTCCACGAGCTGTCAACTTGTTTTTATACCCTCATCAGTTCAGCCGAGGTCACAGACTCGGAGGTGTCCTTAGAGTTCCAGCTGCATGCTGCAGCCTCACCCAGCTCTCTCTGCTAACCCAAACATATGGTTCATGGGCAGAGTTAACATTCAAAGCCATAGTAATAAAAACACCTTTGACCAAAAATTCCCCAACAGCAGTGTGTTTTTGAGAAATACTTTATGAAAGAGAGAAGTCTTTATTTAATTTGATTTGTTGGTTTTGCTTGTAGTCACAAAACCGGATGAGAATATTTGTGCGTATCATTGTTTTCTGTTTTTACACACACATGAAAGTAAAGACTTTACATATCCAGATATCTTACATTTTAATAGAAGTTGATCTAATAAAAATAACTTTTCTCTTTATTATATATATTTTATTTTAAACAGAAAATAAAGAAACATTAGAAAGTTCAGCTGTCAGAGGTTTTACCTGCTGCAGTTTTGTTGTTTCCTGTTATTGTCCGGTTACTGGTTTCCAGTCCGTTCTGCTTCCTCACACAGCGCTGAGGCCTGAGGGCCAGTCGAAAGGTGGACACGTATGTCTTTGGTTTGTCACCATCTTTGTCCATGTTTGAGTCCAAATACTAAGTCAACAGCTGAGATTTAAACTCTTTTCATCCGTCGGGGCCTCCTCTTCCTCTTGGTTTAGCTCAGATTATGGGCCTGGTGTGAAAGTTGCGCTCCATGCCCTCCCTGTCTGTGTTTACACATCCTCTGTGATGCTATAACAGAAAGGGGGGAGCTTTTTGCTTTCTCTCTGCCCCAAACTAAACAAGAAACAGCCGGTTTTGTTAGAAGGCCAATCAGAAACACATATGTCCACCCCCACTGCTCCCTCTGTACTGTGGACACGAGGGTCAGAATGAGATAGGAAATGTGTGGGTGAGTGAAAACATTCAATCTGAGGCATAACAGAAAGCATCAAAGTGGGGGAGTCAGACTAATGAGGCATTAAAAAGTCAATTTACCTCCAAAAGGATATATCCTCTTTCAAAACCTTCCTAATTGTCCTCCTCTGTCAGCTTCTTTTATTCATTTTTATTCCAGGTAAACGCCGTTTCTCCCCCGAACCCTCCGTAAGATGGTGCGTGAGCAACTCCGTCAGAGTTACAACATGAAACAAGAAGAGCCTGTAGAGCAACTCTGCGTGAACATTCAATCTGCAGGGTGGCAGGTGAATCCTTAAAAAAAAAAAACACCCTTTAAAGCGATTGGTTCCGACTGCATGAATAAGTATGGAAAGCAGGGATAATGTGACCTCAAAGTTTACTATAAATAAAAGGTCTTTAGTGCAACTTCGTCTGAATAAACTGTTTAATTTAGGTGTGTCTGAATGACTAATTTACCTTTTGTTGTGCACAATTGTTAGCTAAAGGCTGCCTTTCTATAAGCTATTTAAATCCCATCAATGTGCTGGACTTTGCTTGTTAAAAGATGAAAAGGGGACTAGTGTAATTCATTATCTGCTTGATTTGTTTTACAGTTTGGTGCAAAGTTTCAATTTTGCTTTCAAGGACTCTGACTTATCTTCACCGCCCAACACTGGAATGTGGACGAACGACACCAAAACCAATGCAAAACTGGGTTATTTTTACAGATATTGATTCATGCTCTGATGTGGTAGTAGCTGAGAGTCATTCACAACACATATTCTGAGCATGAGCCTGTGCATCCATGCTTTGTGTCTCCACATACGATCTCAGTCTAAAAGGCTAGCATGAAAGGTGGCGGGTGACATGCATTCATTCAAGGAGGCATTTAATAGTGTGAATATTTATGAAGCATTCACACCGTTGTGGTCCATTTTGCTTTCGTACGTTTATGGGCGCAATTCTTGTCCTGCAGTTTTCAAGCTATGTCAACAAATCATAGATCAAAACTTTCAGCTCTTTCAGAACAATCCTGCTATGACTGTTGGTATTGGTGCAACTTGAGCTGTTTGAAATATTTAACCGTTTCTGCCACTTTTTTTTTTCCTCATAGAAAAAGAATTAAGCTCATTTTACATCCTTCAGGTCTTTAGATCTGTTTACAACTTTTTTACTGCTCCTTTCACATTTTGTTCTGCTTCAGCTTCTTTCAGCTTCCTTGTGCAAATTCAAACTTTTTTCAGCCACTTTCATCTCATTTTAACTGTTTGTTTCAGCTGTTTTGCGCTCCTTTAAGATTCTTTCTGCTAACTACAACATTTTTGTCTTCTTCTAACTTATTTCTGCTCATTTCAGCTTGTTATGCTCCTTTCAGCTTATTTATGCAAGTTTCAGCTTTTTCTGCAATTTCAGCTGAAATTTAGCAGTTTTTTTTTTTTTGCTAAAGTTAGCTTTTACAGTTAATTCCACATTTTTTGCACTCATTTCAGCCTAATTCAGCAAAAATGTGCTCTCTCCACTCCCTTCTATTAAATTTAAGCTTCTCTACCGAGCCGGCTGATAAATATTGCACCATCATTTATCAGGACTATGACTGAGGGGACTATCTGAGATAATGTTCACGGACTTACTCCCCTCAAAACTCATCGCCTCCACTGGCCTCCCTCCTTTTGCCCCCACCCCCCACCCCCACCCCACCCTCCACCCCCATGCAGTCCCCTAGGTTAGATGTGAAGGCGCCAGGTGGCTGCGTTGCTCATTTGGGCAACCTGTGCTGGAGACACCCCCCCCCCCCCCCCCCCCCCCCCCCCCCCCATGTCTTTTGGTCTCCTCGGTGTTTCTTTTTTTTGCTCTGTTTGGGTTTTTTTTTTTTTTTTTTTGGCAATATCACACTGTATCCCATTAGGGATTTTTTTTACCTCCTCTTTCCTCAGGTTTCCTTTTTCCTTATCTAACGAAAAGGGCAGCGCCTCCCATGAGGCTGCGGCCTCAGGCACTCCGTCTACCCACGTTTGTCTTTTTGTTTCTTTGGACGGGCTGTACTGAAATGTAATTTCGTTGTACTTCTGTGCGATGACAATAAACTCTGATTCCAGTGTCAAACAATTTGACAATTCTGCAGATTGATGAGTAACTTTGACACAAAGAAAAGTTTAATGAGTAGCTATAAAACCTTTTTTTTTTGTCCAGAACATTACAAACTAAAAAACAACAAAAGTGGCATGATAGAATGAGGTAAAAGCAACCCTCAGATTTTTTTTCAGGGGTCCTTACAACAAGAATGTAAGGAAACATGTCCCAACGTGTGGTGTTAGACACTTTAGTTAGCGAAAGAATTCCAAGATCTAACATCTCGCTGACTGACGAAGCACCTCGAGCACCAGGAACAATCAAGACTTTGGTTGCAAACGTTTGCAAAAGGCTCTTTTCCTCGTTGGGCAGCTGTATAAAAATGCCTGTTTTTTTTCGATGGATCATTAATCAGACTTGCATGTCTTCCACAAAAACAAACTGGAATGCTGGATTCCATTAGAATGATCTAAACGCAGCGGCCACAAACAAAAAGAAATGTTCTTTTATGGATTAAG